AATCATCTTAAATTTCTTCTTAAATAGAAAAGCAATTTATTTTCCTTCTAGCTTTTAATGCTATCATAAGAATGCTAAAATGCCCATATTTTAAACTTTGCCTATACTGTACATCAGCTTATTTTTTATCTTTCAATATAAATTTACAAATGAACTTGAATTGTTTGAACTCACCAGGTTAGTTAGTGCCATGTAATGTTGAATTACTTTCCTGTGATTTTTGCATTTTTTTCTGTTAAAAATTGCTTAAAATTCTTTGCTGGCTCCAAATAAATTTCATCTTTCATATAATTTCTTATTAGTTCACACAAGTTTGATGGCTTTTGAAAACAAATATTTTAGGATTTGTTGGAGTCTTTGGAAAAACTGATTTAAATAAGTGCTGTAGCCACTACAATGCCAGATGTTTAAGTTGCATCAAGATATAGTGTGAAGAAAACTCTTCAGTGAAGACATCAGAGACTTAAAGCTGAAGAGAGATGTTTTTCATGTGTACTTAATAAAGGGGTCCTTCCACACCAGGATAATAAAGTACTGGTGTCTTACAGTCTAGGACAAAAGACTGTGAGCTGCATAAATTATGGCATCTTAGACAGTAATGAAATGCTTGTTCGTTAAGTGAAATGGCACTGAATTCCTTTCAGCTAGAGTAAAAACTTTATTGAAAACTATTCATCTACAAACAATATATGACTTCAATTTTCCATTGAAAGACATTTACTAAATCTAAGGATCTATATCATTTTACTTTCAGTTTTACTGATTCATTACTGTGACTGTATTTTAATTTTAAAATTATACTATTTTGGCTTGGAGAAGGGATAAAGGGGGTAAGAGCAAGCATGAGTAACTCAACACAAATTCCAGCACCCACATTAAAAACAAATGTCTGGGTATAACCATGTACCACTGTGCGGTCCAGAGACAATGAAATGGCTGAATTTTGTGAGCCATTAGCTTACTAACTCTAGTAGAAAAGTCCTAACATCCTCCTCTGCCCCTTCACACATTTACATACACAAATTTAGGACCAGTGAGCGCGCTCTCTCTCTCTGTCTCTCTCTGTCTGTCTCGCTGTCTCTCTCTGTCTCTCTCTGTCTCTCTCTCTCTGTCTCTCTCTCTGTCTCTCTCTCTGTCTCTCTGTCTCTCTCTCTCTTTCTCACACACACACACACACACACCATATATCTCCACTCCAAATACAATACTCTACCAAATGGAAGCATTAAAATTTGCTCCATTTATTTTGGTAGACATGGTATCAGCTGTACACTTCAATACCTCACCAACAGAGAAACAAACCACACTGCAGGATAAATTGTTTACAAATAAGAATCAGGCAGTAACAACAAGAGCATACATATCCAAATCCATAGAATTTGATGAGAAATCATTTGTGGAGTCACACGAGAAAAGTTAACTATCTCAGCCTAGGATAAATATGCCTGGTACTGGATAAAGTTTGCTTGCGTTAGACTCCTCAACACGAGGAAATACAAATATCTGCACCTGCTAGTTCTCATTTTGCACTTGGTTTTATGTGTCTCTTCAGTAATAACAAAAGCATTTGTTATCAATTATTGGAGTCTGAAAAAGAAGGTCAATAGGGTGGCTTTTCAAATTTTCATATTGGCGGAGTAGTTCCAGGACTAAAACCCCTTAGAATTTTCCAGAAGTCCTATAATTTATGCAGGGATTTGTGTCTCTTTCCACTGCAGTCACATTCCCTATCCGTAGTTCAAACTGAACATCCTTGGAGAGTAGTTCTTTCTTAACTTCCCCAGAGGCATAATACATAAGGCAAATGAGTGATTTAGGCGGGTCCTATTTGAGCCCACAAAATCTGTCATCTACAAACCTGTGGTCCTAGATAAAGCTCTTATATGCAGCAAGAATGTATCCAAAGGTTATTTTTCTACCACCAGCACCTTTTTCTTTATAACAGGAAAATCATTTATTTTCTTTTGACTTTAAGTTGCATTCAATACAAAGGGATAATTAATACAAGAAATGTCCACTCTCCTCATCTGTTCTGCAAAGCAGCCATCACAGCTTTCTTGATGCGTAGTTCAGCAAGACTATCCCTGACAATCGATAAGTGTTTATGACACTGGTTTTGGAGACAATGTCTGGAATGTGTAAATGAGTTTCCAATGCAGAAATAATATACTTGACAGCAAGGATTTACATTCTCTGCTCCTGACTAACCTGACGCTTACGCCCTCTGTAGTCATGCTTACCACCTTTCCTTAGCAGTTCTTCTAACACGTCAGCTGAATAAAAAGCACTTTTTAACGGCTCTCGTAAAATTAGTGAAGGAATGTTACATATTTTAGCTCATCTGATAATTGTTATCCTTACTAATTATAAAAGTAATTCATTTCATAAGACAAAACAGATTCAAAACGATGCACGTGGCTTACATTACAGTTTAAATAGCAATCCAAGGAGGCATTGAAACAACACAAATCTATTACATAAGAACATAACTTCTTTTGTCATGTAGTTGTAAATTAACTTGGAAAAACTTTGGCATACTAAATACACTATCTAAATAGTAAGGGCATTTTGTTTCTTCCACACTGTATTATTGAAGAACAGTAAATTGTATACATACCGGGATTAAGTACACTTTACCAAGGAACCACAAGCTTCTACAAGGGAAGTATGTGTGTTAATTGTGAAATGGGCAGTTGTTTAACTATTGGTCAAGTGTTTATATCTTATCAATTGAGTTGAGATGTATACTTATATGTATGGATAGCAGTGTGAAACTAAATTGTTTTTACATGGCCTATTTGATGGAATGAGAAAGAAAAATCTGAGAATAATTTTGCTGACAGTTTGATTCCAAACAATATCTTCTCAACATACAGATTTTTTTTATTCATTTCTTTATTTTGCCTTTTTGTTTCATTTTTCTTTTCTATTGTGCTGTGAAACTGTCTTTGGGTATGACTAATAACTCTGTTAAATAACCCTCTCATGAAGTGATTTTACTATTAATCAAAAGAATGTATGAACCAACATATGAAATAATTGGGATACCACTGCATTTTTAACATTCAAACTAATATAAATTTAAAACTAATCGTATAATAAGAAAAGTTCCTAAATACAAGACTTTTAATAGTTTTCATTCACTGAAGTCAAACTTGCCATTTTTGTGGGGTTTATTTTTTTAAAGAGCTAAACAAATTTAAGTTTGTTTTTTTCTTCACAATAGACTTTTTTAAAAAACTTAGACATTTCATCAGAGGAACCCTGTCTTGAAAAACAAACAAACAAACAAAAACTTAGACATTTCTTATCGTCACTGACTGTGTAGGGATGCATGCATGCATTTTAATTTGATCCTCTTGGTGATAAAATTGGCTATATGACATTGCTCAATTTAGAAAATATAGTAATAATTTTACTCTACTAATACACACTTGCTTCTGAAAGCAGGAAGAGCTAATTATTCAATCAGCATTTAAGAAATAGCAATCTAATTCTGGAACCCAGGCACAGTTTTGTCAGGAAATGTATACTTTCCAATCCAGAAATAGAAAAGCAAATCATTTTCCTGAAATACCAGGTACAAATTTTAAGAGAATAAGCATATGAACAGATAGTTTAGTGTTAAAATAGCCAAAAACTGTTACTGTTGTTAGGCAGTTAAATGATATTTTACTGTTAAATCATGCTGAATATACATATATTCACATGTATATGTATATTCAGCATATATGTATGTATATATATATGTATATGTATATTTGACTGACACTTCATTTGGCTTTAAGAAATCACCAAACTTAGTGCTTCCCAAACAACACAGACAGAACATTTGTGTCCACATTTCCAGAGTAGATTAAGCCACTCCTAACATTTAACAAAATTCTAGTTAAACACTGAGAAGTCCTCTTGAAAGAGTCAATGAGCCCCGTGTAAACTTTACTGTAAAAACAGGAGAAACCAAACACGTGGAAGGCAAAAATCTTATGACTCTTGGAGAATAATTAGAATAGAAAACACTTCTGCTATTCCTCCATAGAGACACTAAAAGCAGACAAAAATCTAATCTAGAATGGTTTTGGTAAAGATGCAGCGTGATGTCCTGGGTTTCAGTCGCTAATTTAAACAACCAAAATGGCCGGGCGGTGGTGGCGTGTGCCTTTAATCCCAGCACTCGGGAGGCAGAGGCAGGCGGATTTCTGGGAGCTCGAGGCCAGCCTGGTCTACAAGAGCTAGTTCCAGGACAGGCTCCAAAGCTACAGAGAAACCCTGTCTCGAAAAACAAAAATAAATAAATAAATAAATAAATAAATAAATAAATAAATAAATAAATACAATCAAAATGGATTCATCATTCTGATTCTAAATTGCATCCACTGTTTAGGAACAAACCCAAATTTGACATGAGAACACCCCTAAGAGATGTCGCTGTCTCCTGCCTAGCCTCATGAAACTCAAAGAGCCTGGAAATCTGCAATTCTGAGAGAATTCAAAGCACTGAATCAATAAACCCCACAAACAATAGAGGGAAGAATAATCAGGCCATATTCTTTATGAATAGAAGTACCGGATTAGCAGGTTTTGTTGTGGTTTTTGTTGTTGTTGACTTTTTTAATGACATTTTGCTTTTCTTCAAGGAATGAATTATTTCGGTCTCTTTTGGGTCATTGACATTGTTAGAAGCAAAGGAATTCAAGGTGTAATTATTTCACCATTATTAGTAAATACAAGTTTATCATAGTTTTACAAAAAAAAATCAATGTAATCAGTTATCAGGCAATAACCAAAGTGAGTCAATGTGCACCAAGTACTGCAGGTTGAATGCTTTTGAATGAGTTGCAGTTGCCTTCCATTTGGAGTGCTGTGTACAGAGCTGCCAGATAGCAAATGAGAGGTTTATTTAGCGTTCGGGGGAAGCTTACAAAAGAGCTAAGTCCTCATTCCTTATAATATCTTAACAGCTCTACAGTTTCTTACAAAATATGTTTTATCGTTTCAAGAAATGCTGTTAACCTCGCAGTTTTAAAACTGAATGAACAAGGCCTCTTGGACAAATTGAAAAACAAATGGTGGTACGACAAAGGAGAATGTGGCAGCGGGGGAGGTGACTCCAAGGTTAGCCTCAATGTCACGAAGCGGGTAAACAGTATGTCAAGTAATAGGTGCATCTGCTAGGAGACTTATGGTATATCTGCTCATAGATGGACTGTCAGTCAAATACCTTTAACATCTTTTTACATCTCAAGAATGCAATTACTGTCAAAACAAAAATATTTGCAACTGTTATTAATTTGGTGAAACACTCATAACCCTGGTGACACTAAATGTGGGAACCTTTGGCTTTAAGGAAATGGGATCTTGTGGAGCTGGTTTTGGAAAGCAGGAAGTCTCTGAAAGAATGGTGTATTGAGCTGGGCCGTGGTGACCCATGCCTTTAAACCCAGCACTAGGTTTAAAGGCGGATCTCTATGAGTTAGAGGCCAGCCTGGTCTACAAGAGCTAGTTCCAGGACAGGCTCTAAAACTAAAGCGAAACCCTGTCTCAAAAAACAAAACAGAACAAAGAAAAAGAATGGTGTAGTGTTGAGTAAAAAGGGGAGAAAAGGCAAAGCTGACTTGTTTTCTACATTAATGAATGACCAAACTTCTACCAAATTTCCAATTAATATCAATAACTTGACTCCACCTTGATTTGTCTAGCATTCCAACCAGACAGCTTTCTTCATTATGTGGTTTACATAATTATTTTGCTTTCCATTAAGGGATGAGTCAGGAAACCATAAGACTACAAGGTAATATTAACTCATCTTTGTCTTCATCTCACACATACCATAATTTCTGCCTCATCATTTTTTCCATTTCTAATTAATTCTTTCAAAGAAAAATAAGAAAGTTCATGATTAGGAGATATTCCAACTAGTGACCCAGAATGTGTGTATGTGTGTGTGTGTGTTTGTGTGTTTGTGTGTGTGTGTGTGTGTGTGTAGATAAAGAAAACAACCTAGATAGGAAATTGTGACTGAGAATCCACCTTCAACCCCTAAAAACATAATTAAAACTTATATTATACCTTTAACAGCATAGATATTACTTAATCTAGAAAAGCAGAAGAATGCTTCCCATCCCTTAACAAGAAGAAAAGACATCCTACTTCTATCCTATCTTCAGGTTCCTGAATGAATTGTACATTTTCTCACAAGATCACAAAATATTTGTGGAATAAATATTTTGCCATGAATTCAGATACCATCTCTCTTAATCCTTTCTCTGATGCTATAACATAGTGTTTGATCTTAAGCAATTGATAAAGAAAGCACAACGTCCAAAAGGAATGGGCGAGGTTCTGAATACAATGGCAGATGACATCATATAACAGAGGAGGGTATAAAAGAATAAGAGGTGGAAAGGGTGAGAACCAAACCAGGAGAGACCAGATAGTAGAGGAGAGAATATGGAGATATTAGGGCTGCTCTCTTAGTAACAGCCTGCTTTTATGAGGACAATCCAACCCTCGAAGCCTCTCTTAACAGACTTAAACCCCTATGACCACACAGACCTCTTAAAGAACCTGCCACCACAGTGAAATCACAGTGAGGGATTAACTCTTAAATGAGTCTGGGGGAGCAAATCACATTTATATTATGGCATTAGATTAAAAAGTAATAAATAAATTCATTTTACATGTTTGACTCCAACTTCCCTAGAATTTTCTCATAGTTTTCATAAACACATAAATATATTTATGTTTGGAAACAAAAGTATTCCTTTGTAGACATTAGAAATGTCAGAAAATATGCTGTAATAACACCAGAAAACTTAAAATGTATGTGTTATAATCAGAAAACATTCTGTTTGAAGATCTTATAATCATACCCTTAAAAGATATAACAATGCTTCATGGATTATTTTTCTACAAATATAAATACCTGTTCTATTTTAGGCTACAAGAAAGATTATCCAGAGGAAAACAAAGAAAATACAAATATGTGTGGGTTGGGAAATCTACACAACAAAAATCACTATGCCTTAATTAATTAATCATTATGGCTTAATTAAATGAGAAATTTAACAACTGGGTCCGTGTCACACATCTGAGATATCACAGACCTGAGTAAGCACTTGTGCTCTCAGAATAAGTATATATCTAACTTTATTTTTCCTAAAAAAAATCTTTTGTTCTTTTAGTATGTATTATTATAGTATTCACAAATATGAATGAGAAGTTGTGTTCCAAAGCATTATTTTAAGTCTTGACAGGGAACGCTCCAAAGAGTTTTAAATTTTAACATAAAATGCTCACCTAAAATGAAATTGCAATATGTTTTGTTTTCCCTTGCGAGTTTAGTTTTCATATACATGCAAGGTTTACACCAAGAGAATAAGTTCATTGAGGTCTAAAGGTTAATAATACCTTAGTATGAATTCAATAAAATGCCCTATAAACTTGCCTGCAGGCAATCTGATAGAGGCAGATTTTCTCTTTTATAGTTCCTCTTCCCAAAAATTCTAGTTGTGTCAAGTTGACAAACTACTAACCAGGACAGCTACCACCATCGTGAATATAAGTACACTGCTCAGGTTTATACTGAGTAAATAGAATTAATCTTATAGTAAGGAAGCAAATGGCATGCTGTATTTTATCAAATGTATTCAGCATTTCTTAGATGTAAAGCACAAGACACCAACAACTTTAAAGATGTCCAGAGGAAATAAGACCATCTCCAGCAGAAGGAATCAAAAACCACCAGCCACTAATACTTAGCAAGAGAAGACCTCAGAATTACTACTGTCCACCAATTCTGCCTACTTTCCTCTTATCTCATGAGAAGGAAAAAGTAGGAGAATCCTTTTATTTTTCCCAAGTACCAGTGTTGAGGGAGAGCTGAAGTCTTCCTCTCTAAGATATTCTATATATTTAACATCGAGGGAATTGAAGATTGGAGAGAAATCTGTTATAAAACATCACTAGCTTATTTGTAATAATTTAAAATTGTAGTCACTGAACTATCAACTTTAGTTATGTTAATATGGTAGACTCAAGGCAGATGATTGCTTATAGTGATGTCATTTAAGGTCAATGCTGCAATTCAGAAGGAAAATGCAAGTGTAGCCTCATACTGTAAACCAGCAATTTGCATATCTTGTAAGGACCTTCTACTACCTAAACCTGTCCTTGGCCAATAATACTGAGACACCATTCTCTTTGTATGAACTTACTATGGAGTCAATTTATTGATAGATACCATCCACATATTATTAGAAAGTAAGTAGTCTCACTAGCTAAATCATAGTGAATGGCTGTAGCTTCTACTTAACTTGATGTTATCTCTATTGATTTTGATGGAGAAAATGAGACGGTTCTGGATTCCAATTGCTTGCCACGTGTATGGGGGGAAATTACAACTGATTTTGAAGCTCAACCAGCCAATAGTTTTGGATTCACAGTAATTGCATATATTTTTATTTAAAAATCCTCCTTAGCAGTATGTGCCTGTTACATAAAGCGATGGAGCAGGCCCCAGTTTTATGTCTGATCCTAACCTGGGCCTACAGTTCAAGACATACAACCTACTGTGGCCTTTGCTCTGTCACTTTGCCATGCGATTCTAATGTAGTTTTACTTGAATAACATAAAATAACATATATAATGTTATTTATGTTATTTTCCACGTGAAGAACTCCTGTAAACCTTGCCGTTTTGAAACTCAGTGAGGCAGGCGTCTTAGACAAGCTGAAAAACAAATGGTGGTACGATAAAGGTGAATGTGGACCCAAGGACTCGGGAAGCAAGGTCAGTCATTGCAGTTTGGGAACTCTTCTTGTGTGTAAAACAAACAGTAACTGGGATCGATTGTCCAAACTTATGAAGCCTTGAGCACTGAACTCTTCTGTCCAGCTAGCCATTGCCTAAATTCAAACTTAATGCCATAAATTTCAGCACAGATGCTGTCAAAAGAAATAAACTGCTCCTCAGTAGAAATGATTAAAATAAACTAAGATTAACCCTTATATAGTAACTATTATATATAATAACAGAGCTATCTTATATAGCAGATAATATTAACTATTATGTATACATTATTACAAAATTATATTAGTCTCAAACTTATTTATCACTAATCTTTGTCAGTTAGCTTTGTGTTTTGGAAAAGGAAACCATAAAATGTATATTTTAAAAGTTGATTTCCAAAACAGGAAATGAGAAATTGATCAGCAGCTATCCAGAAAAAAAAAGGTAAATATATTAAATAAAATTCAGGGTCATGGCACCACAATGCCAAGCATTCTGCCTTAGTTCAAAGAGGCCAGTCACATTTATGGTCTGACAAATCAATAAAATGAGCTTCCAGATCTATTATCTCAATAGAGATTATTTAAAAAAATCAGTATTGACACTGTGTATCCACAAGTCTTGAGATCTTTTGCTCTTGAATTTATTTTTAAAGATTTATTTATCTTTATCTGTATGGGTGTTTTAGTTGTATGCCTGTTCCTGCATTCTTAGAGACCAAAAGATGCATTGATACCCTGGATCTGGAGTTACAGACAGTCGTTAGCTGTTGTGTGGGTGCTAGAAATGGAAACCACATCCTATGGAAAAACAGACAGTGCTCTTAACCACTGACCATTCTACAGTTCCTACTCATGAATTCTTTACAGAGCAATGTAGAAATGTATAGGCTGAGTTTGCAGAGTGCAAAGTTATATGTTTATTCTAATTGGAAAAAAGATCACGTTTATCAGTGATTCAGCATACCTATACATACTAATAGAATATATCTAAGACAGGCTGGGGAATAGTGGCACATACCTTTAATCCCAGCATCCAGTAACATGTATGTGTGTGTATATGTATGTATGTATGTATGTATATGTATACATGTGTTTGCTCCTATTGCTCCTATTGAAGATTTTTTAAATTTTTTCTTTAAACTTTTTCAATATAGCATTTTAGAAAGAAAAGGAGCTACTGTTTATTCTAAGATATTGAAACAAGTAACATTTGCTGAGTTTTTATTAATTTTAGGAAGTTTCATAGGTCATCTTTCAAACCTTACACACAGTTAATCATTTTTGTCTGCCTTTGAAACAGTGAAATGAGACAAGCTTTGGCCGTATAATGAAACTGTCACTTTGTGTCCTACTGTAAAATAAGACATGCACAATAATTAAAACCATGTAACCTTAAAATAACATGACTAAGCATACAAATACATATATAAAGAGAGAGATAAATATATAAATGTATCGCTTGAATTAAATACTTTTCTTATATAACTACTGAAGAACTTAGATAAATTTTGCATGTAAGGTATTGTGGTATAGATGGTGACCACAAAACACCTTTCAGGGTGTCTTACTAAATTTTTTTAAATAGTGTTATATTATAAATATATTAATAATCTATGGCATTTTTAAGTTACTATCACAACTTAATATCTTTCAGTCATCTATTTGACTATTCCCAGATATAAAAATAAGATTTTATATGTACAATGAGGTTCTGAACTATAATATGCCTAAAATATTGACTATTAAGCATTTTAAGTGTCAATGGGATTAGAATTTTCAATCAGTAAAAGCATTTATAAATATGACCATACATAGTTTGTTTTTCAATTTGGATGTATTTTATTGAAAATTATCTTCAAAAAGCCATAAGTAGTGACATAAACCTGTAATCCCAGAACTTCAGAGGTAGAGACAGTCAGTCAGGAGTCAAAGCTACCCTTAGCTCTATAGTGAGCTAACCTAGGCTACATAAGACCCTATTTCAAAAATAAACATCAAATTAAATTAAAAACTTTAAAATACATAAAATTATGAATATTGCTAAATAGTATATATTTATATTTTATATGTTGCATATACAGCACTATATTGCATATAATATTGTTAAGTAGTATAGAAAATTCAAAATTGCTCATGAGGTTCCCCCTACGAACACACTGGAATAATAAATGATGCATGCTGTAATGCCTTATGACTTACACAAACTTAATAAGTTAACAATGTGACACTGATAGCCTAAACACCCCTAGTTCTCTAATTAAAAAATGTGGCATGATAACTATCCAAGAGTAGTATTAAACACTAAAAATTGTGTTTAAAGGAGGTAAAGCCCAAAGATTTTCTTCCACATATTCTGAGCATGACGTTCTCAAAGTCTAAATAAGACCTCTTCTGCCTCCTATGTAAATATATGAATGCTCATACATGGTTTAGTATAGTGATTTTCTTTACATATTTAGTAATGATAAAATGTTTGGATTTTATTGAATGTAATTATATTAATTTGTTGGTAATTATCATAATTTTCTTCTCCCAAGAGCTATAAGCTTTATGTTTACGTCTATTTACCTGCATCAGTGACTTAACCTGAAATAGTTCCCAGTACAATTAAGCATTTCCTTTAATAGGCTACTTTGAATGTATGTGTTCTTTTACCTTTTCGGTGTGACATTCCCATAGTTAACTGGAATATCTTTATCCTCCCTAGGACAAGACGAGTGCCTTGAGCCTGAGCAACGTAGCAGGCGTCTTCTACATTCTGGTTGGCGGCTTGGGCTTGGCAATGCTGGTGGCTTTGATAGAGTTCTGTTACAAGTCCAGGGCAGAGGCGAAGAGAATGAAGGTGGCAAAGAGTGCACAGACTTTTAACCCAACTTCCTCGCAGAATACCCACAATTTAGCAACCTATAGAGAAGGTTACAACGTATATGGAACCGAAAGTATTAAAATTTAGGGGTAGGACTTAGGGCCTACGCCAGTGAGTGGGGGCTGCATCCTGTGAATGCAGTGTTGTGACCTGTCTTGTCCAGTGGTGGTATTGCTTGCTTTTAATTAGAGCTTTCTATTTTTGACATTTTCAGTGCACAGTGGTTCTGTTTTTGTTGGCTGCAGATGTTCTGTTTGAACTTTATGTTGCCAATAGATATCTGCATTGTAATGGTCAGAAACATGAAAACAAATTAGAATTGCTCCACAAATTGATGGAAACAGCGTAATTTCCCCAAAATCAGAGGAAAATTAAATTCCATCTGAGCTTTCCTAAGCAGAAACCAGTCAAATTTCTATGACAACTCATAAATGATAAGAAAAAAAAAGAACAAAACGTATTTTAATTGGTTAAAAATAAATCCTAGGGAGTTGCCTAGTTTTGATGAGGTTACAATGTTTTTTTTTTTAACAAAAATACATACATATAAAGGATCTCCATCATAAGGACTGCATGAATTTTGTTCCTAATCTAACATGTCTTCCATTGGCCAGTCATATTTCTATACTTAAATGCATTAATCCCTATTGTTTGTTCATTTTGGTTATGATACACATTTATTAAATGAGATTCAACTTATACAATTTCACTTATCACAGAAGCATTCTAAACAATCCAACACTTCTCTGTTTCTCCATCCAAAATGTCAGATACACACACACACATATAATTGCATACAGATATATATATACATATATATAGATAACATATACACACATATATGTTAGAGAAAAATGAAATATTTCAGTGAGTTATACATTATACATTTTTCCCATTTTTTCCACTTTGGTTTCTTTTTAAAAAGCCACATAGCCACACTTATATACTGTCCTCATGTCACAATAAAAATGATATGCATCCCAGGAAGTACAGATGGAAGTTAACTTTTTCAGAATCTAAACATCCACTTTTTTCCTCTAATGATCAAAGGTGGTTTTAAAATAAGACCCTAATGGATTTAGTATTGCTCTTCTGAAACCAAAACTCTGACAAAATCATTTTCTAAAATCATACATAATCGCCTAATGTTTGTTTAGATTGCATAATAAATGAGTCTTTGAATCTTCAAGAGACATACTTGAGGCAGCTGAAAGTCAAGACAAAAAAAAATATTTAGTAATATGTATATCTGAAGTTGTGCCAGAAAACCTGGTTGATTTGATATTTAATGACATAGAAACTTCTGTATTGTGTACTACTTTCTGAAAGACAGGTTGTCCCCACCTTCTAGAAACCTGAAGCTGAACACACATGCATAGTGACAGCTTCAGCTGATTTGTTCTCGATTTTCTGAAACTTGTAAAAGCTAAGTCCTCAGTTCACTCCAATAAAGCACAGTGAGCTTATCTTCAAATATGGTTAGGTCCTTTGAGAGAAATTACTTGAATATTCATGGAAATAAACTGAGACCGTGTCAAGGTTGATGGCCATTAAGAAAACACTTTTATCTTAATATTCGCTGAGTTGAAGAGAAATTTTCCAAATGGAGGAGCAATATCTCACCTGGGTTATTTGGAATGAATTCATAACGCATCTTACTTCTTGTGTTACCAAAAGTGAGTTTCTTATTCATTCCATTCATTTGACAAATCCAAGATGGAAAAGCAATATTCAAAATTTTTTTTTAAAAAATACCAGTGAATGTATTTATTGCAAAAGTCTGGTAAATTACTAAAGCATTCCCAGGTTAGAACTTTTACATCATAATGTTCTTTTAGTTGAAGCCTGTCACTGAAGTTAATCAAATGTTACCTCCTTTAAAGCTAAATTTGACCTTTTAAAAAACACATTTTGAATACAGACAAAGCACTCATAGTCATGTAAATTTTTTATTTTAAAAACAGTAACATTCAGAGTAAGCAAAAATAATTTGTACCTGCAGCAAAGACTTGAGAGTAAACTATTTTTATTTTACTGTCAAACTGATATGTTTTTCCCTCTTAAAAACTTTGTAGTGACTGACATGGCCACTCATGACTAGAATCCTAACATTTGAAACTCTGAGACAAGTGGATTCCTGCACATTTTAAGTTAGTCTTGGCTGTGAACAGATACTCTGTCTTGAAGGAAAGAAAGAAAGAAAGAAAGAAAGAGAGAGAGAGAGAGAGAGAGAGAGAGAGAGAGAGAGAGAGAGAGAGAAGAGAGAGAAAGATTCAAACCAAAATTTCAAACATTGAGTTCTCTTAAAAAGAAAAGATTGGTAAACTATGGACCACAGCCCATTTCTGTCAATAAAGTTTTATTAGTCCACATTCATACGTATTTGTTCATATGTCATCTATAACTGCTTTGGAGCTTTAGCATAGAATCAGAAATGTGTCAAGGGACATCCTGTAGACCAAAGAGCTTTTAGGTTTACCATCTTCTCTGTGGGCCATGACAGAATGTCNCACACACACACACACACACACACACTCCATACACATAAATGTTTATTTATTTGAATTCACAGTCTTATATTCTATTTTCTTCAGCATCTGAATTAATTCAATCGAAGCTCCAAAATAGCCCCTCTAAAAGTTACTATGTTCCAAACAGCTAGGCATCCACTAATTGGTTCTTATTTTTCCCCTTTAGGCAGCTTACAATACATTCTATGTGTTTTTTTCCCTTTTTCTTTTCATTTATTTTTTTTAAAAAGAAAACAAACTATCATTTTTCATTATACTTACCAGTCCCAAGTTACCACTCCGTTTGTTGGCTCTTCACTAAAAACACCTAACTGTGAAAGAAAAGATTGCATTAGAAAGTTTTACAGCAACTCCAATCCCATATCCTGGCTTATATTTCTTAAATAAAATGTGTTTTTTTTTTTGCTACATCTTCTTGATGCAAACAATACTGTTTTGTTCATTTTTTTGTTGTTGTTGTTATAACCACTCTCTAGGAATCTCACAGGAGTTTCCCTTTTCAAAGCAAGATTACTTGGAAGTGCAGTCCACTTCTGAGTTCCCAGGCAAGACTGGCATGGCCATGAGGGCCTTGAAGAATGGGTCATTTCAAATGTTTGTCTTTTGAGGATTTTTTTTTTTTTGAGACAGGCTTTCTCTGTGTATCCCTGGCTGTCCTGGAACTCACCCTGCAGACCAGACTGGCATTAAACTCAGGGAGCCATGCTTCTGCCTCCTGAGTGTTGGGCTTATACGTCCACTCTTTCGCATGTTCTTATAAAGCTAAATTTTTCTATTTCTAGCTTCCTTGCTGGTATACTAAATTTCAGTTTCCTTACAATTTTAAAAATGTGGAATATGTTCACCTATTATTTTATTTGATACAATTTATATTCAGCACATCCTTCGGTGTGTAGTTCTTCAGGATTTTTTTATAATTTTATTTTTTAAAAAATAAGTTTTTTCATACAAAGTATTTTGATCATGTTTTTTCTCCCCCATTTTCCCAGCTCTTCCCCACCTCCTAACCCACCTCAATTCAATTCTCAGCAAAGTAAAATATTTTTGGAATTTTATCCTTTTCCCTTTCCATACAAAGAAAAGTATCCTCCCATGCCTGAATATTCATCCACTGGACAAATATTTACTGAGTGACTATTCAGGTAGCAAATAAAAGCTGAAGTTTGGGGTCACCAGGATGATTTAGAGTGTCAAAGCCCTTGGGACAAAGCTGATGACCTAAGCTCAGTCCCCAGGACCTGCATGGTGAAAGAAAGAGAACCAACTCCTGCAAGTTATTTTTTGACCTCCACACACATGTTGTGACACGAGTTCATGCACACACACACACACACACACACAATTAGTAATAAATGTAGCTTTTAAAAAATCAAATTTTGATTTTAAGGGACTAATAGAAGTTAACCAAGAAAGAGTGTTATTTCCCTAAAAACTTTATTATATGCCAAATTAGATAGATGTATGTATCTAAATATGAATGCTTTTGATGTTTCTATAAAGTCCTCTCCTAAGTCCTCATCATGGAAATAGGCATTCATTTTTTACTTCAGTCATTTTGACTACTGTTACATTCACCTTTTATTTTAATCATAGTTAAATCACTACACAGTATTTGACTTCATCTTTTTGTTTTCAACAGGGTGAATGATTTCAGACATTTTTACTCCAACAGCTTTTAGTAAAATAATGAATTTCATTCACATATATCAGTCAAACATTAAATTTTCAGAACATATCAAACACTAGAGTGTAATTTCCTAAGGAATTAAATAAAATTTAGTCCTCAATAAACAAATACATTGTGAGTTGCAAGAAAGTGGAGGTCCCATCTTGGTCACCACAAAGCTTAGGGGGACATCTCCTTTGTCTTATTTTCCTCTTATTAACTCTAGGATTTATTTGGCTATGAAGGATTTGGAGTCTGTAAACAGTAAACAATAGTCAGATTTACATGATCACAGAGCCAACATCTCCTCTACAGAGTGTTATTTTCTGCTACCTGGGAAGACAGGAAATAAGGATTCAATGAGTATTCAGAGATGGCCACCAGAAGACCCCATTCCATTCTGTGCATTGTCAAATATACCTACTTTCAATGCACCTCCTTAAAGCATAAATCTTACAAATGAACCTTGATTCCTAACAGGCATACAGTGAACTATATGTCACTAGCTGTGCTGTTCTGACTCATGTCTGTAAGTCATGTGAATGAATGCAAGTGTGTAGATAGGTCTGTGCAAGGAAAACCGGAAATTTGTGTGTTTATGGTTTAGTAATTTGTTGTGAATTACAAAACCATTCCTTGCACCAGAAAAACATCTAGCAAGAAAATACTATGGTTTATAGAATACCCATAAAACAGAAGAGACCTCTGAAGCTTCTTTGGAAGTACTAGGTTGTAGAGACCAAGTGAAAAGGTTTCTTCTACCCAGATTGGCTCAGAAAATCCAGATTTTGTGATCTTTCAAACAGTTTTTAAATATATAGGTCCTAAAACTCTAGGCCAATTAATTCATCCCCTATTGTATCTGAAAATTTCTTTCCCTTATAAACAATTTGACTAAAAAGAACACGGAAGAAAATGCAGATGTCTAATTATCAATATTTTGGTGTTTGATGTGCCACGTTTTATTGAAGCGAGAGAAATATCATAACACCTGGCATCCTCTCTGTTTCCTTTTCATGCAACCCAGCTGACTTTTTCCGAAGCCATAAGAAACAAAGCCAGGTTATCCATCACTGGGAGTGTGGGAGAAAACGGCCGTGTGCTGACCCCCGACTGCCCCAAGGCCGTACACACAGGAACTGCAATTAGACAAAGCTCGGGATTGGCTGTCATTGCATCGGACCTACCATAAAAACCAAAAAAATAATTGAGTGCCTTAATTAAACTGTGTTGGTGACTGATGGAAATGCAGCCCGGAGAGACGGGTCCAGCGTGGTTCCTGGTTTAACACATCCTTTGACTGAGCAGGAAGGACGTTCTGAGTGTCGGACAGAACCAGTGCATGAGTTCAGCACGGAAATTCAGACTCGGGTTTTATATCAGGAAAACTCACAATTTAGTTTTTTTGGGGGGAGTGGGGGTGTCTGGGATGGTTGTATTAACAGCAACGCATTTCACTTGAGCGCACTAATCAGACTGGCCAGTTAGAGCATCATACTGTGAAGTTCTTTCTCAGAAAGGCCTTGGTCACCACAGGAAGGGGTTCAACAGTCAATAGAGGTCAAGGAACCTGCTAGCCTGTGTCTCCACAACACCCATGTAGTCGATGGAATAATCTGCAGCTGAGACATGAGTCACTAAAACGTGATAAGAAAATAATAAACATGTAAATCCTGTGGGGAAAAAAAACAACAAAATTTAAAGAAAGTATTTACAGTTACTTTGGAAATAAAACAATACTGAAACATGCTTGCTTTTTAACTGAAGTAAATCCAGTAGAGGACAACACAATCTTTTTTCTAACCATCTTAGGGAACAATACATTGCAATAATTGATATAAATGTCATCACTGTAACAAACTTTAGAGACTTTTTTAATGTAAAAGTTGTTGGTCACCATGTTTCCCGTAACCTTCACTCTGTCACACTGTTGGTTCATAGATTGTGTTTGTCTGTCAGGAACAAAAAGAAAATAGGTGAAGAAAATGTTGACATGAAGTCATTCATCGGCAATGTAGAATTAGAAAAAGACTACAGGTCACTCATCATTATAATTTAAAATCCTGTTCTGTGTACAAAATTGTGGTTTTTGTACCTGCCCAAAAGAATAAAACAACATTTTTTCTTACAGTATATATCTACAGAACTTAAATTTTTCCCTATAATCATACAAGTTATTTGAGAAACTCGAAGACTGCATGAGGGATGTAAAAGTCAAAGAACAGACCATATAAACAAATGTAGGCTGTCTTTATTATTTCTGCATAGTATGCTTTCCTTCTTTTACAGATATTGGCCTCAGTTGTTAATAGATTACATTTTCAGAGATGGAGTCTTCGAGTGTGGGAATGGACAGCTGTTTTGAAACCAACACACCTGTGTGGAAATTTTACTTGACTCTTTTGCTGCATTGACTTTAGTGTCTCTTGGACTTTTACCCTCATTCCTATACTTCCATTTGAGTTCTTTGGAGGCACTGAAAACTGTTTGGGGTAGAACACAACTGGAAAACTCAATCCTTATTTTTACCCCAAAATTATGAACAAAATTAAACCATATTTATTTTTAAGAAAACAAAATATTTATGGTTCAAAAAGTCTGTTTCATTTCAAATGATGAATGAGTTCAATGATATAGATAAAAATCACCGACTGAGGGATATTTGCCGAAAGCACAAGTTAGAATAATTCCTGAAGTGTGGCCTTGAAGGATGAGTTGAGTTTTCACAGGTGGAGGTATGGTAAAGAGCCTATGGGAGAGCAGACACAAAGCCACTCTTTGGGCAGGCCTGTGGACAGGGCTTGTGCAACAAGGAGGCCGGGAGAGAGCACAGGCTGTGACACCATGGGAGCTCTGGCAGAAATATGAAGGACTGGTTTTCTTCCCTTTAACCCTTACAATCCCCTTTCAATATCTGTGTGTCACAACTATGTAATCCTTATAACACATGTATACACTGTCCCTCAAGAAAGGCTACTTCTCTGTTATTGAGCAAATGGTTCCTTTTCAAATCTGAGCCCTCCCTGATGTCTTTTTCTCTTACTCCCACCATCTTCTCAGCCAGCAAATGGACTCGCACAGCACACAGAATATTGCATCTACCATTTCTTTGGTCTGTAGCTCTTTTCTGTCTTTACCTTGACTGTCACTCATCCTTCAGCACCCAAATTGAATTTTATTTGCACTGGGAATATTTCCATGATTATCCACCAGCCCTGCCTATGATGCTGACTTACATGCCATTCTTAATGTTTCTTACCCATTACGGCACTCACCATACTGCATTGTAATTGCCTGTGTACTTGTCTATAAACTACTAGACTGTCAGCTCCTTGAGGGCAGGGACTGTGTCTATCTTGTTCACATTTGTATCCCCAGCACCCAGCACAGTGCCTGGCATATTGTAGGTGCTTAATAAATATTTGTTGAATGAAAGAATTAATTGGATTGATTTAATTAAGTTGAAGCAGAAAAATATATTTTCTCCTTAACAGTCCCTGGGGTGTAAATTAGCTATAGAGTAGTTAAAATAAGCTAAGGTTGACTGGTGTGGGAGAGTTGTCTGTATTCTGTCAATCATGTTTTAAATAAATGCTGATTGGCCAGGCAGGAAGAATAGGTGGGAAAACCAAACAGGAAGTAGAAATGATGCAAGGAGAACAGGAGAATTCTGGGAAGGAGGAAGCTGATTCCTCCTACTCCTGTCCAGACCACTGAAGCAGCAGGGTGTGATCTGCCCCACTGAAAAAGGTACTAAGCCACATGGCTAACATAGATCAGAATAATGGGTTAATATAAGCTATAAGAGCTAATAAGTAGCCTGACCTAATGGGCCAATCATCTTTATAACTTATAGAGATCTCTGTGTGTGATTTTCTTTGGGGCTAAACAGCTGTGGGTACTGAGTAGGACAGAAACCCCCAAGAAGCAGGCCCCCTTCATGTTACAGAATGTTTTTAATAACACTAAAGAAAATAGCTAAAAGAAAATACACATAAAAGATTTAGTAAATTTTCTCTTTTTTGTTTTTCAAGATAGGGTTTCTCTGCATTGCCTTGACTGCCCTGGACCCGGCTCTGTAGACCAGGATAGCCTTGAAATCAAGCCTGCTTCTGCCTCCCAAATGCTGGGATTAAAGGCTTGTACTACCATGTCCATCTTTTCTTTTCTTTTTTTAAAAACAATACAAAACCAAAAAAAAATATTTGATATGTTATGAAGGGCAGTGGGCTTGGGAGTGACAAGAGTACTGCCCATGGCAGTTTGATGCTCTCTAATCAGATGGGCAGGTTCCTGGTTTAACTATAACTCTGTAGCACAACTTAGCTAGACTAATAAGCACTTAAGAATAAGGATTAAGTTTAGTGTTTAGATATTCTTTTAAAATAACATTAATTTAAGCTTGGAGTGAATTTGTGCTCTTTGAAGGAGTTATGTTTTTACAGTATAAAGTAATTTTGGAAAAAAAAGAAAAGAATAATTTTGAAAACACTATACAGTCATAGTGATTTTAAAATATGTGAAAGTTAAGGCTGGTGAGACAGCTCAATAGGTAAAGGTTCTTGCCATGCAAGCCTGATGACAATCCATGTAAGGGTGGAAAAATAAAACTGGCTCCACAGAGTTGTCCTCTGACTTCAACACATGCATTGTGGCATGATTTACTCTCTCTCTCTCTCTCTCTCTCTCTCTCTCTCTCTCTCTCTCTCTCCACACACTCACAGCATATACACACAGTAATACTTCATAAAAATTTACATTTAAAGTATTTGATTCCACAAAATGGAAGAACACAGTTACTGAACACAAAAGATCACTATTTAGTGAAACTAAATATTTCAGGCAAAAGCTTCTTAGGAATTCCATGAGCTAGGTAATCAATAGGCACCATCAGCTAGGTAATCAATATGTAGTGACCACCATGAGGAGCTCTAAAGAGAACTTTGTTACTTACAATCAGCCCCATAGCTCATTGAAAATGCCAGTCTCAAAACTATTATATTCATTTCACATTCCTGCATGTGTTATCTATGTGTTGCTTGGCTTTCCCACCTATATAACACCTATTCAGTTTTTTTTTCCCTAAGGCACAGTAGATGTTCAATATTTATTTGTCAGTACTTAATCACAACTTTATACATAAAATCAGAATCAATTAATATGTACAATATTTTTATTCTCAGAAAACAGGACACCCCAACTTATATTGCCAAGGTAGTTGTAACAGACATAAAACTCAAACTATTAGTGATACTTTGTACAGGCTGAGACACAGACTGTGGAGTGATCTGTTTTGTAGTTTTTGTTTGTTTTTTTCATTTTTGTTTTTTTTATATTACTTCTCTGAAGTTCATGTTTTCATACACAGTAGTGTTTTGTTCTCACACAGTAATGAAAAGTTCAGTCTGATTATTTGCAAAAGCAAAAGGAACAAGTGATTTATTTACATATTCTCTCTGTGCTTTTTTCAAGAGAGCTATTTCATGCAATGATTATAATGTTATTAGAAGAGATAATAAACAGAAATTGTATCTCATAGGAAAGGAAAACACTAAGTTTAGTGCTTTCTTAATTCTGTGAAATGAGAAAAACCTTATTCACACATTTGTTTTGCTTTGACTGTATTTTCTTTGAAAGTGGAAGAAAATAAGCAAACTAATGGAAGATAAGATAAAGGAACACTAAAATAAAGTGGGTTGTGTAAAAGAAAAACATTTTCACAAGTTGACAAAAGCTATTTTTCTCCTTCAAAGATTTTATTTCTACAGTTAAGCATGTGTATGTGGAGGCATGTACACATGAGTCCCAAGGTGTCCAGAAGAGGGCATCACAGATCCCTTAGATGGAGTCACAGGAAGGGCTGGAAACTTCCAGATCAGGAAGGGTGGACAACTTGTAACTGCTGAGTCTCTCTAGCCCAAGGAAAAGAGGTTTTTGTTTGTTTTGTTTGTTTAAGATAAAATGGTTAGCTCCTACTTCTTACATTATTAGGTGTGTAATACTTAATGAATTTCTCTTTGATAGGCATAGAACCTTTACAATTTGACAGGACACAGACTGACACTGGGAGCCTTGGGGGACAGAATTAGATAGAATATTCTCAGTCTTGTTTGAGATGATGCTAAGAGACCATTTAACATTGCCTATATGGTTTGTCTACCAGCTCTTAATTGCAAAAACTTTAGACTTTTTTAAAGAACAGAACCCAAAACAATTTAGTCCATATTTGGCTCCATTTAGAAATTAGTATAATCTTTTATTCACATAAAACTGGTGCTTTTTCAAACTTCTAAATCATGGAATTCATCAATCCTACCTACCTTGCATTTCTCAGAAATGTCTTCCCATTATTCCTCTCTTCACTCTCAGACCATGTAGCTTTTCAACCCTTGCTACTGAGATCTCAGTCTTAGCCCAGTATATCTAAATCCATGTCATGCATACACTCTCACGTCAAACTCATCCCATTCTCCTCTGCATCTGCCTTCATGTTGCTCTTCCCACTGTTAACCTCCCCAGCTTTTACCACCATTTCTTACCTTCAGTATAAAATAAGAAATAAGGAAAAGCAACCATTGAAATTATGACTCAGAGTACACAAACACATACACAAATATTTTTATGAGTTGGAGACATAGCTCAGTGGTTAAGAGGTCTCTTGCAGAAGACCTGAGCATAGTTCCCAGTACCTGTGTCAGGTGGTTAACAAATACCTGTACTCTAGGGAGTTTCAACACCTCTTGCTCCCATTGACACATGCACACACATGCACATAAATGCAAACAAACACACATAATTGAAAATAATAAAAATTAATTTTAAAATAATTCATTTTCGTGGAACTGTGTGCCATCATGTCACTAATATGGTTGAGTAGGCAAAAATGCTTGGTGAGTGTGGTAGCTTGAATGTAATTAGTTCCCATAATCTCACAGGTAGTGACACTAATAGGACGTGTGTCTTTGTTAGAATGGGTATGGCCTTGGTAGCAGAAGTGTATGACTGTGCGGGTAGGTTTTGAGGTTTCTTGCTCAGGATACCACCCAGTGTCTCAGTTGACTTTCTATTGCCTGCAAAATATAGGACTCTCCTTAGGGTTTCTCCCCTCTTCTCGTCCCCTTTTCCCAGAAAACATTTTTAAAAACCAGCAGTTAGTGCAACGAATGTTCAGTCAGCACACAGTGCAAACAAGTGGAACAAAAACGTCTATTTCTTCTTTTCAGTTTCTCTTCACCAGTTTAAAAAAAAAAAAAAGAAAAATGTCTGAGCTCTTATATAACTCTTCCTAGTTCCAAATAAAGATGAAAAAACCCACAAAGAGAAGAGCATCCCCCCCCCAAATGATGTGTCACAGATCCAAGGAGCCTTTTGCAGTTTGTCAAAGCGTGCTTGTTAAGGCTTCTCATCTTCTACAGGCTCACTGTGGTATTCTGCCACATACAGGCTCTTGTCAATGTTGCTTGGGATAGGTTTAATTTCTGTGCCCAGTTGCTCCTCAATACTTTTCAGGTTGAAGCGATCATCATATGTGATCAAGTTGATGGCTAAGCCAAGATGACCAAAGCGACCTGAAACAAAACAAATTAGAAAAAACTTAAAATTTTTGTTCAATAAATATGAGAAAATTCTAATGTCCCTAGCCACAAGGGACCAGTTCCACTTTGAACAGTGGGAACTTAAAACTTTGAAAATATTTTGGGGAAAGGGAGAATTGGCTTTCTGTTTAATTGGCAAATGTTCCAGTGGGGGGTATGTTTTTGTTGGGATGTGTTACGTTGTATGTACATGTCTATGGACCTGAGTAAAGAGTTTATATATGGTTTAGAAAAGATGGTTGGTAAAATCTTGATTGCTTCTTTTTGTTAATTTATCTCAATAAAAGCCCACTGGAACTCCAAAAAAAAAAAAATATAGGACTCTCAGCTACTACTTCACCATATCTGCCTACTTGCCATTGAGCTCTCCATCATGATGATAATGGACTGAACCTCTGAAACTACATGTGAGTCACTCCAATTAAATGTTTTCTTTATAAGAGTTGTTGTGGTCATGGTATTTCTTCACAGCAATAAAACTCTAATTAAGACATTGAACAAGTCTAAAAATCCCAATTCAATCCCCCCCCAAAAAAAAATACAGGATGGAACTGATCTCTAAGCAGTTCAGGTCCACACACAGAGACATCATACACACATGCATACAAATATGAAGTTAATTTTTAAATATGTCACTAGCAGAATGGTGGTTTGCATCTGGAATCTCAGTACTGTAGCTAAAGGACTGTGAATGTAAGGCCAACCTGGACCACATAGCAAGTTCTCAGCCAATATATAAACTATTTAGCAAGACCTTGTCTCAAATACAAAATCAAAAAGAATACAACCATAGCAA